AAATAAAGGCTGTCAATATAGGCAAAAACTAAAGAAACTCATGGCCAACAATTCAGTGTTATAGAAAATTCTCTTATTTATTTATCTATTTATTAATTTACTTATTTATTTGAGACAAGATCTCTCTACATAGCTCTGGCTGTCCTGGAACTCACTCTGTAGGCTAGTTGGCCTCAAACTCACAGAGATCTGCCTGCCTCTGCCTCCGGAGTGCTGGGATTAAAGGCGTGCACTACCACACCAGCTTTATAGAAAATTCTTAAATGAATCCTCTATCCACAGCTGGAAGCAATATTAATAAGCATGAGAAGAGGAGAAAGAAGAAAATTCAGTGAGAGGAATAATCAAGCAAATCAGGTATGAGTCAAACACTGTTAATTCATTAAACTAGAGCCCCTAATGCAACAAAGAAAAAGGCATGAACACAGGTTACTGAAAACAAGTAGAGGAAAGCATCACAATGACAAGAACTGGTACATGCCATTAGTAACAACCCTGAACATGAAGGATCTTAATTTACCAATGAAAAGATTGAGTGTCTGACTGAATTAACAACAAGAACCACCAGTTAGCTGCCTACAAGAAACTCACAGCATCAATAAACGCACATACAGACTAAAAGTGAAAGGGTAGAAAATGAAAGTATGAAGAAGCAGAATCAGAAAGCACCCAGGAGCAACTATACTCATACTATACACACAGGCTTCACATCAAAACTGCTCAAAAAGGATAAAGGTAGACATATCAATAAGAGAAACCATTCACCATGAAAACATAAAACTGTAAATGCTTGATACATATACATCAGACATCAAAACATTCCATTTTAAAATAAACACGACAGAAAACTGAGGGGGAGGCAGACCCTAAGATATTACTTTCACCTAGTGCTAGTTAATTTTTGTCAACTTGACAAAAACTAGACTCACCGGGAAGAGGCAACTTTAGCTGAGGAGCTGCCTCCATCAGAATGGCCTGTGGGCATGTCTTTGGTGTTTTTCTTGATTGATGTGGGAGGGCCCAGCCCACCATAGGCAGTACCACCCCCTGGGCAAGTGATCCTGGATTGTATAGTAATTCAGACTGAGCAAGCCAAGCAGAACAAGCCAGTAAATAGTATTCTCATATGGCCTGAAAGTAAGACTCTTGGGATGAAGAAGGAACTTAAAGAGGGGAAGAGGGATGGTAGAAGGGAAGGGTGGACATGATCAAAGCATCATATGTGGAAATGTCACAGCGAAAACCCACTGATTTGAATAATACACAATAGTTGTAATAATAAAAACAGACATCATATGGTATCTGCTCTCAAAAGACAGTGGTATTAAACTAGAAACCAGTATCAGAAATATACCTGAAAACTAAAGAAAACTTCGGTACTTTATATTAAATGAAAATACAATTAAAATGAATGGATGTAGCAGAGACAGTGAGACAGTGTCTATGAATTTATAGCTGCAAATGTATAAGAAAGGAAGAGAGTATCAAATTAAATCTAGTAATCCAGTAACAGAAGTCAAACAATACAACTCACAGCAGAGGGCTAGAGGGAGGGCTCAGCAGGCTTGCTGCCAAGGCTGACAACCCAAGTTCAATCCTGGACATCACATAGAAGAGAACGGACTCCCAAGAGTCATCCCCTGATCTCTTCTTGTGTGCTGTGGCACACCCGTGTGCTTGTGAGCACACAGATACAACTATCTACTGATCTGTGCTCACGGAAGCACTATTCACAGTAGCCAGTCAAATGAGCGGTTAAAGAAGAGTGAGGCTGGGAAGACGGAAATCAAAACATGTTAGGTTTCCAGTTCACCCCAGTTAGACTGGCTAATTAAAAAAAATACCCCCCCCCAAAAAAGTGCACACACATACACATACACAGAGAATAAATAAATGTAATAAAAGGTCTTTAAAAATTATAGCAGGCTGGGCATGTTGACACATACACTTAATTCCAGCACTTGGGAGGCAGTTGGAGGACTGTGTATTCCAGGCAAGCCAAGGCTACCTAGCGAAACCTTGCCAAAATAAATAATATATATCCAGAAATCAATGAAATAAAATCAATACAGAAAAATAAAAAACATGTCCTTGAAAAGAACAATAAAATCAATACCATTTAGCTAGGCTGAGAGAAATAAACACAAATGGCCAGTGTCAGAAATGGAAGAACATCAGCACAGGTCTCAAGGTCATCAAAGGGACAATGTTGCCTTTTCTGTTTGCTGCTGCCTATTGAGCCCAGAACCTTCCATGTGGGAGGCATGTGTTTTCCCACTGACCTGAACTGCCAGACTTAAGGGAGTATTATCAACAACTCTTGGCTCATGAACTCAATGATCTAGATGAAACAGACCAATTCCTCAAAAGGCACAATTTGCCCAAACACACAAGAAACTGACATCTGAACAATCTCAATCTCTCCTCCCCATACACACACACACACACACACACACACACACACACACACACACACACATCAGGGGACAAGAGATGGTCTAGTGGTCAATAGCACTGGCTGTTCTTGCATGGGATCTGGGTTGGAGCCCCAGCACCCATATGACAGATCACAGCCATCTGTAACCCCAGTTCCAGAGGATTAACATGTTCTTCTGGCCTCTGCAAGCACCACACACACACATACTGTGCACACATACATGTAGGCAAACTACTTATATACATAAAAATAAATCTTAAAAAATGTGAAAAACCTGAATCAATTGTTGCGTTAATGATTCAGTAGAATAGCAAAGTTGGAGGAGTAACAGTACTCAGCTTTAAGACTTACTATAAAGGCTACAGCTAAACCAAGAGTGTATGATATTGCTAAATGAGCAGATGAGTGGACAAGAAAAGCAAGCCTAGACATAGAGACACGTAAATATACTAACATATGGCAAAGGGGCACAGGTAATACAATGGCACAAAGTCTCTCTATATTGTTGAGCTGGCTATTTGGGGTCCTTTGTCTCTTAATATAAACTTTGGAATGGGTTTATGGATATCCACAAAATAACTTGCTGGGATAATGGTACTGAAACAAAAACATTCAGAAGAAAAATAAGGAATCTAGACATATATTTTATATTTTTCACAAGTATTAATTCAAAACAGAAAACATGTCTAAATGTAAACTGCAAAACTACAGCCCTAGAAAGTGACATACAAGACTATCTAGATAAACTGAGTATAGCAATGACATTTACACACACACACCAAAGGCACAGCCCATGGAAGAGCTGAGAGGTAAGATTTCATCAAAATGGAAAATATCCCCTCTCCAAAAGACATCCTGAAAAAGCGAGAGGGCAAGCTGCAGACTGAGTATTTATAAAACAAATATAAAAAAGACAAAAAAAAGGATGAAAGACTCGGACCCTTTATCAAAGATATATGGATGGCAAAGAAGGATGAGATGCTTCATAAATAACTAGTAGGGAGTAAAAATTAAAACAATGGGGGCTGAGATGTAGTTCATCTGCACACCCCTGCTGCCTAGCATGCCCAAGGCTCTGTGGTCAATCCCCAAAATGCAAGATGAATGAATGAATGAATGAATGAATAAATAAATAAATAAAGCAATGGGCTAACAAATGGTCAACAATCTGAAGCACTGATATCCTAGTTTGCTCAGACGCAACTTGGGGAAAGGGTGTAGTTCATCTTACAGTCCATCACCGAGGAAAGCCAGGGCAGGAGTTCAAGCAGTGGTGCTCACCAGCTCACTCACTCATGGCTTGCTCACTTGCTTTTCACACAATCCAAGATGGCCTCCTCTGGGATGGTACCACCCACAGTGCACTGGGCCTGCCTACATCAATCATTAATCAAGAAAATGTCCCACAGACACGCCCTTGGGACAATCTGAGGGAGGCAATTCCTCAACTGAGGTTCCATTTTTCCAGGTGACTGTAGTTTGTGTCATCATGACAAAGACTGACCAGCACAACTGACAATGCAAATGCTGCAGGAGATTGGAGCGGGAACTGTAAACTGTTATGGGAATGTAAAAATAGTACTACACTTTGGAAGAGAGTTTGACAGTTTCTTTCAAATCAGAAAGCCAATCAGAAAAGCCAATCAGAAAAGGCTTTGCACTGCATGATTTCAACTATAGACATTCTTACAAAGGTAAACCATGAAGGCAGGATAAAGAGAGATGGTTGCCAGTATTTAAGGCTGAGGAAGAGCAGAGAGGATATCTATGTCAATGAAACTATTCTGAATTATACTACTAGTGCAAGAGTAGGTACATTCATTACACATTTGTCAAAACTCATAGGATGTATAATACTAAGGGTAAGCTCTAAAGTAGCTGTTCTCAACCTATGGGTCTCAACCTTTTTGGGGGTTGGAACAACCCTTCCACAGGGGTCACATATCAGATATCCTGCATATCAGATATTTGCATTACAATCCATAACAGTAGCAAAATTGAAGCTATGAAGTAGCAATGAAATAATTTTATGGTTAGGACTCACTGCAACATGAGGAACTGTATTAATGGTTGCAGCATTAGGAAGGGTGAGAACCACTTCCCTAAACTATGGACTAGGGTAGGTGTGAACCATGTAGGTTCACACAGGGTATGACCTGGTCCAGAGATGCTAATACAGCTGGAGGCTGGGTGGGGCAGGTGATGTGTAAGTACAACTCCAGCTTTCGGTTCAGTTTTGTTGTGATCTGAAAGACTTTTGGGTGTATCTCCATGGTAACGCTCTTGCCTAGCATAATATGAGGCCCTGGCTTCAATTCTTAGCTCTATTAACAAACAAAAACTATGCTCTAAAAATAAAGGTGAAAATTGATTTGTTTTATTTTGAAACAGAATAGGAAGTAGCAAACTTCTACATATCTGATTAGGCTAAGGGCTGGCTAGGAAAAGGTTTCTTAAAAGTGTACTTCTTACTGTAGATATAGTAAAAACATTTAGGGGGCCCAATTTATGTCCCTCTCATCTCCTGAAAGAAGATAATTTTTGCAAGGAAGTTTTAACATACCTGCTCCCACATACTTGACAGCCTGAGCAGCCCTGACTGCGGCCTCCCCCAGCTTTCTTCTTACTTCAGGATTAATACCAGGCTACAGGAAGGTATTAAAAATAATTTCCATTAGTACTGATCTCTATACATTTCCACCAGAATGCAAAAACAATTAAAATGGACATTAGATAATAGTGTATATTAAATAACTGCATTAAAAGATAATATACCAATTTGTCTGTCAACATACCAAAGTTTAAATGCTTCTGCTAGTAATGTCTATGAACCACAGATATTACTCAGTACAATTATATATCTGTATCCCTTGTATTTGCATAACAATCTTCCTAACTATACAAAAAATGACGAGTATTGAGCTGGAAAGATGGGTCAGCAGTTAAGAGTACGCACTGCTCTTGCAGGTTGTGAGCTGCCTGATATGGGTTCTGAGAATCAACCTGCAGAGGAACCCAAGGGAATCTGATGCCACCTGCTTCTACAGGCACTGTTTAAAACAATGTTCTACACACAGACATTGGTAATCACTGCTTAAAAACTATGTCTTACTGCAGTTGTTGACATGTACTTCAAATATCTCATATATTCTGCAACCAAAATTATATTTTGAATAGTGTAAGAACTGGCTAACTAGAAACCCCAGACCGCTGATGTTTCAGAAATACATATAACACATATTTCACCAATGGCGGTTGTAAACACCACAGAAATATAAACTCAAAAATAGGAAGCCCTCGCTTTGACCCTCACAGCAGCCTGAACCAAGTAAGGGGAAGTTGTCAAATAGAAACTGTATTTCCTCCACAGTGTAACTATTGGGCAAGAAGATGACTAATACAGTTTGGGAACATGCTGAAACAGTGGTTAAAACAAGACTCTTCTCTATGAAAAAGATGTCCAACAACCAGATAATTCCATTTTATTCATGTAATTAATTCTAGTTAATGACAGTGTGCTCTAACATCACTGTCCAGTTGCTAACTCTTAGTCAGATACTTGCACCAAGGTAGATCTTTCTGGACTGTGTCCAGAAGGAACATGGCTCACCTGTATCTCTGTACTGTCCAGAACAATACCGCCCCGCCCCCCCATCACACTCCCAACCCCCATGGATCCTCAGCTATGCACCAAAGTATTATCATTGCATTCCTAGTCAGATGCTAGGGATGGGAGACGTTAGCTTTACAGATCTGATGTGGAAATAGGATTGAGCAAGGTCTACATTCAAGAGAACCTCAGAAATGTCCTTTCAGGTTCCTTACCGCTGGGGCCTCCTCGATGATCTTCTGATGTCGCCTCTGTACACTACAGTCTCTTTCAAACAAGTATACTGCATTGCCATGGCGATCACCAAACACCTGGACTTCCACGTGCCTATTTCAAGAAGAAACCAATGTGTAATATGCTTCATTAAGGGTTCAAAGATTTCACATTTATCAACCCAAACTGTTGGCCAAAATGACCAAGATTCCTCCATTTTCTCTGAGGAAGATATGTTCTTCTGGAGTCCGTGTTGAGGTTACAGATTTAGAAACATAGCTACAGTCTTGTAAAGTCCAAGTAAGAGAGCTTCTACTTGGATGACAAACACCAGAGAAACAAATGTACATGTCTGAAATGACTGTTAGTTAAGAAGAGTGAAAATATGGGAGATCTAAAATTGGGGTACATCACAAAGGAAAAAAAATCAAAGGCTGATAAACTTGTTTACAAAAGTTATTACAAACTATAGTTCATAAAAAGGTCAGTGATAACCAACTTTTTAAAGAAAACAAAAAACTGTTACAGTCAGACTCTACAAACATGGAAGACTGAAATCAAAATCTCATCTCTAAAGGAGCTAGAAAGTAAGTCAAACAATAAGTTAAAAATAGTAAGTCAAACAAGTACATAAAGATATAGATCATTAGTATTTCAAGAGTGTCCTGACATTAAATCATGAAAAACCAAAAAGGCATTTTAATATTGAGTAAAAAAAACAAAAAACAAAAACTAGCAAAATTCTGACAAGTCACACTGAGAGTGAACACACATACTGCCTGTACAAATGAGGCTCACACATCACTTGGTCCCAGCTAACAACCCAGGGCGAGTGAAGGCATGGGTCTTAGGGGAGAACATACAAGTACCACTTTACTAAACCAGTGTAATCCCTAACAACAATCTAAACATCTGTCTTCACATCCACAGGTAAGTGTTGCTAGCCCTCATCCCTCATCAAGGAAACTTCTTTTTGCAACAAATGGAGACCATCACAGAAAACCACAAATAAGCAAAACACAAACTTGTGGATCCTATTCCCACATGGATACATCTACAAATCACTCCTGCACCTAAGGCTCAGGGAACATTGTAGGAAAGGGGGAGGGACGATTGCAAGGGGCAGAGGATCAAAGCAGAAGCTGTGCTCTCCTAATTATTGATCTGTTTTGAATTGATTTATTTCTTAACTATCAAACTGCAATTAAATTTTATTTATTGTGTCAGGCTCAGGTAAAGTTCCATTATTGTTTTAAGATTTACTTATTTTTGTTTTATGTGTATGGGTGTTTTGCCTGAATGTATGTCTATGCACCACACTCATGCCTGGAGCCTGACCCACATAGCCAGAGAGGTCATTGGATCCTCTGTAACTTGAGTTACAGACGGTTGTGAGCTGCCAGGTGGGTGCTGGGAATTAAACTCAGGTCCTCTGCAAGAGCAGCCAGTATTCTTACCTGCTGAACATCTCCCTCCAGCCCTCCAGTTCCATCTTTATAAGGTGTAAAACAAAACCATAAACAACTCAGGGCCCTCTTTAAAGAGAATATAACATTAAAGAGAGTTCTTCCTGGACTCTTTTTAAAAAAAGAACTTAGAGCTTCAAGTTCATTGCCTGCAAGGTAAAGTCTTTCTATGCATGGTTCACACATGAACTGTTCTTTCCACTTGACTTAAAGGATATATATATCCACACACATACATATGTATATATACACATATATGTGTATGTATATATATATATACACACATACACATATATTATGTACGTATATGTATACACACACATATATAAACACACACACACATATATATATTAGATACAAAAATCTAGGACATAGGAAATTTTACAATCATTATCTTATTTTTAAAAACAGGAAAAGCTAGGAATCTTTATGGTCCTCTCTGGTAGTATCTAAAGATGCTCCTCAGTGCAGCAGTTTAGAATGTGAACTCTGGAGTCAAATTGCCTGCATTCAAATTCCAGATTTACAACTTAGTAGTTGGTGACCACAGGCAGCAAGAGTTACTCTATTGCGTGGTGCCTTGATGCACAAACTGAAAGTAGGAATACATTTCTGGGGTTGTTAGAATTAGGACAATAAGATCACCTAGAATAGGAAAACACTGAATCTAGCACATGATTAGTGTTAGCTAGGAGGACTACTGCTTGTTAACATAAAATAATAACAAAAATCTTCATAACTGAATCCGGTTAACTAGCAAGTTCCATCTTTTTAATCCCTCAACTAATGCTAAGAGCTCTGTAAACACAGCTGATTCTTAGAAGAACATATTTATACTGGAAGAAAATCCTAAGTTTCACCAGTAACAAACGGACTCTGGGACATCAATGTCACAGGGCCATTCTGCCTTAAACCAAAGTACTAAGGCAGAATCATTGTTTACTAATGTAGAAAGATGCCTGGAGTATATCACTGAATAACATTATAATGTTATAAATGATTCTATCCACTGTTCTTCTGGGCATATTTGTTTGTTTCTTATGTGTTTGTGTATGAGTTTTCTATCAACATAGAAGAAAATATTGAGATGCAAGCATACTGTCCTCTAACTCATGACTACATATGTACAACTGGGGGACTTCAAGATCTTATATAGTGTTACAACATCAGAGCTTAAAGAATATACATGCACTGCTTAAACACACACACACACACACACACACACACACACACACACACACACACACACACACTCATTCCAAAGCCAAAAAAACCAAACCAGCAAGTTGACCTTGGAGTGTCCACGAACTTCTCGATCAACATAGCATCATCGTTGAAAGACTTCTTAGCTTCTCTCCGGGCTGATTCTAACTGCTCTTGGAATTCTTTTTCAGATCTAATGATCCTCATGCCCTAAGAAAGCAAGAATTGTGTGACCACGACATAAACATAGACCTCTAGCCGGAAATGGCAGGGAAGGGTACCCACAACCTTACTTTTCCTCCTCCACCACGGACAGCTTTGATCATAACAGGGTACCCGATTTTCCCAGCATGCTCTTTCAGGCACTGGTCAGACTGGTCCTCGCCATGGTAACCTTCCACGACAGGGACTCCAGCAGCAGCCATAATGGACTTGGATGTGCTTTAGAGTAAAAACACCAAGATGCCCCAATTCTGTGATATCGACAAATCCTAACTGTTTAAAGAATCATTGCACAAGTAAAGGAAGGACTTCAGCCTGGGATCAACATGACAGCACACACTAAAACTCCTTGTTACACACTTGCCCTTACTCCCCGTGGTAGATTATCCCACCATCTTCGAACCCCACACAGCTAATATATATCTTAAAAACACTAATTACTTGTATGTTTTCCATAATTCAGTGGAATTTTCCAACATGCCAGAAGAGTAACAAGAGTATAATTTAGAACACCTGTTAACAAAGCTGGCAAGATGGCTCAGAGGGTAAAGTATGTGCCCTGCAAGTCACGAGCTTGGTCCTCAGAACCCATGGAAAGGTGGAAGGCTTGCATGTGCACACACATGCATGCACACACACACCCACATACACAAAATAATAATTTAAAAAATATCTGTTGTAATAAAACAGACTACTTCAATTTGCCTTATGATGCTTACCTCTTTATACCCATATCTCTAATTGCAGACGAAGGAGGGCCTATAAAAATAATCCCTTCTTGCTTACAAAGTTCAGCAAATTCCATGTTTTCTGAAAGAAAGCCATATCCTGGATGGATGGCCTATAAAGGAGAGAAAGCACATAACTTACCAGCTAGCAGGGCTTTGGTGCTGGCAATGCACCCTCCCCTGGGGAGATCTCTCCGGAGACGGCTGACAAGACACCAAGGGCTCTGTCATAGCATGCTCCCAAAGAGATGTCTACAGCATTCATGTTGGAATATGAAGTCTGTTGGCACCAGGAAACCCTGTTTCTTTCTTTCACTTGCTGCTGCCTCACAGGTGCTAGGCAGTGGTCTACCACGGAGTTACACCCTCAGCCTAGTGTCTTCTATTGCAGTCGTATATATGAAACCTACCAGGTACCGGTTCAGGCGATTTTAAGCCTGTGATTCACAATGATGAGGATCTCCTACTGCTTTCACCACCTATCTCCAAAATGTTATCACCATCCCAGATGCGGTTCCTGTGACCAAGCAGCCACTAGTTTCTTTTCTATGAATTTACAAACCTAGGTATCTTCTATCAATGGAATTCTTGTCGGTCTATGGCTTATTTAACTTAGCATGTTTTCACATTCTTTGGCAACTTGCACCAGAATTTCACTCATTTTTAAGGCTAATATTTCACTATATGTAAATTCCACATTTGGTCATCCACTAATCTGTTCACAGACATGTGAGTTGTTTCTATCTTTTTTTTAAATCTATAAATAATATGACTGTGAACCTTGGTGTACAAGTATGAGCACCTAGTATAAATTCTTCAATGTACACTTCCAAGTACAATTAATAGGCTAGTGAGAGATTTCAGTGGGTAAAGTGCCCACAGAAAGCTAGACAACTTGAGTTTGATTCTGGAAGCCATAAAAAGGTAGAAGGAGAAAACTGACTCTACAAAGCTGTTCTCTGATCTCCACATTCACAAGCTCCCAACCCATATATCACACACACACACACACACACACACACACACACACACACACACTTACCAACATACATAAACACAAACACCCACACATATACACACACAAACATGCATACACACATTTACAGACATATATGCACACATATATGCACACACATACATAAATAAATAAAACTTCAAAGTGGAATTAATGAATTGTGTGGTCATTTCTAGAACAACCTATCTTTATATACACATTAAAATTTTTTTATCTTTACACAAACTTTCTCAAATTTTTAACAACTGAACTTAAAGAATGCTTAAATCAAGAAGTGGCCATTATTTATTATAAATTAAATGTTAAGACATAATTTTCCTTTTTTGTTTTAAGACCTATTTTTGGTTAAAAGAGTAATAGTTATGAAACAGTTGTTATTACATCTCTTTGTGTGTGTGTGTGTGTGTGTGTGTGTGTGTGTGTGTGTTGTGGGGCATCCATGTAGAAGTCAGAGGACAACTTAGAGGAATCAGTTCTGTCCTTCCACTGAACTCAGATTGACAGGCTTGGCAGCAAGTGCCTTCACGGATGAGCCACGTCATCCGCCCTAGAAAAACCCACACTTTAACTTAGAACAGCATTGCTATTAAGGACAGCAAAGGGCTATAGCCCGGGAAGGGGTTTTTATTGTTCTGTGAAAAACTGGCCTAAACCCAAACGTCTGATGTTCCAAGCACCTGAAATTTGAGGTAGAGGAGCTCAATTCTCTCTTAATTCTAATTTATAGTTTAGATTCTCCCTCTACCTACTTCCCAAAAGATTTCAAGTAGAGGACCCAGTAAAATGGCTGAGGAAGGAGAAGTAATACATAAGTTTATGAAGATAACTCAATAATCACATGTAAAAACTCACTAAAAAGAGAAAATGTCTGCAAAGAAGTAATTTTGCATAAACTATACAAAATTTATTTGCTTTGCATTGCAAATTTTTTCACAGTTTTTACCTGTGCCGCAGAGCTCTTGGCCACTTGAATGATTTTCTCCATTGCCAGGTAGCTCTGCTGAGATGGAGCAGGGCCGATGGAATATGCTTCATCTGCCTGTTAAAGACCACAAGGCTAGTTTGCACTTGTATGGTTACCTGTGGAGTAATTGTTTAACTAGGCAAAGATGTGTTACATCTGTTTACTTTCTGGAGGACTACTTTAACTAAGTGAAGGTGTGTTACATTTGTTTCTGCTGCCTTTGTTAACGACGTAAGCTATGTTGCATTTGTTTCACCTCGCCTGCCTAAGGCACCTGATTGGTCGAGTAAAAAACTGAACCGCTAATAGTTAGGCAAGAGAGGGATAGGCCGGGCTTGTGGGCAGGGAGAATAAGTAGCAAGAGAAATCTAGGCAAAGGGGAAGAGAAGAAGGAGAACAAGGGAGAAAGAGAGGGACAGGCCTGGGATCAGAAGCCAGCCAGCCGCCAGCCAGACAGCCGCCAGGCAGACAGCCGCCAGCCAGACAGCCGCCAGCCCGCCAGCCAGACAAGAGGCAGTGAAAGTAAGACATATGGAAAGAAAGGTAAAAAGCCCCAAGGCAAAACGTAGATAAAGAGAAACATTAAAATAAGAGGTAAGATGAGGCCAAGCATTCATAATTAATAACAAGTCATGATTTGGGAGCTGGTTGGTGGCTTGAAAGAAAGAGCCTGACAGAGTCACTATTAAAACTGAAAACGCCGGGCACAGCAGACATGAATAGTGTAAGATGAAGAAGCGGAAGCAGCAGTTTGGGACTCAATCCTGCATGTAAGGAGAGTCAAATTCAATTTTCCCAAATAAACCACAGTCTAGATTTAATCACAGCATTATAAAGATCGTAAATGTGTTTAATGCCTAAAGTTATAATCTGGAAACAGATACAAAATACATTAACTGAAACATGTAGCAAGAAAACATTACAAAGTTTATATAATCTCTCATAATTTATACATTAATCTACACTATCCTTTATATTTTTCATACAATCAAAGCATCCCTCGAAGTAGACCAAAATAGACAGCATGAATTCATTTATGCACATGTGCCAAATGCCTACTGCGTGCCAGGCTTTGGGTTGGGAAGTGTCCCTTACAGAGGGAAGACAGCCATCAAGCATTCACACACAAATGGGAACTGTGACAAAGGTCCAAAAGAAGAAGTCAGTGATATAATAGTAATGGGGTGACTGTCTCTGCTCTGAGGGTGGCCAGGGTGAGCTAGCAGGGGCGGTCAGGGCAGGCCCCTGGTAAGGACGTGGCCTGAGGATGGATGGAGAAAGCGGGCTTAGGAAAGGGACTGCAGAGCTTCCATGGACAGAAAACACATATGTGAAGGTCCAGAGGTGGACAGAAACCTGGTCTGTGTATGTGACCGAGGGTAACTCATGTGGCTGGGTCATAGTAAGTGAGCAGTCAAAGGACCAGTGATAACTGATTTCATGAGGCCTCTGGGAAGCAAAAATGTTTGGATTTTTTTCCTATTAGAATTCATAATGAGATTTGGGGAAAAAATACAAAAGGCAAAATAAATACCAAAAATTATATTTTAACTTCACAAAACACAAGTCCATTCTCATTCTGAAAAACATGGACAATAATACAATGGTAAATTGGCCTTGGGTACCACCCTTTCTTCACTACAGTCCTCTCCAGACATATTTTCCACTATAACCAACTTGGGACATTCTTTTCACATTCATAATTGTATTTGTTCATATAAACATAAGCACATACAGTCTTAGTTTTATACAAATAGAATTATACTATTTGCCTATATTCTGGAATTGACTTTTGGGTGCTTCTTCACTAACATACACATATACAGCTGTTAGAACAGTTGCACAGAATGGAGGTAGCATAGCTCATTCAATCACAAGTCTCTTCACATGAATTGAGGTTGCAGCGGCACAGCACTGGACACAGGCAAGATCAGAAAATTCTTCATATACCTCTGTGCGCATTTATATGTGAATGTGGCTCCTCTATCTTGGGGACACAGACCTGGCAGAATGTCTGCAGGACAGGGTTACAAATGTGTACATTTTAATAATTCCTGGTTCGTCAGCACTGGGATTTCGCTAACAAACATCTCCATCAAGACACCAATTCTACCCATCCCAACCAACATCAAGTATTAGCTTTCTGTCTCTTAAAGATTTCCCAACTTGATGGATCATAAAGCAATTAAACTATACGAACAAACTTTGGTTCAGAACTTGGTCTGGCTGAAATGCAAAAAAAGAGATCCTAAGAGGACCAGGAGGGAATGGGAAGAAGGTTCAGAAGGCAATAGTAGCATTCTCCAGTCAAGACAAGACAGTGGCCTGACTTCCTGTGCAGGTAAGAGAGGGCAGGAGGAAGTGGGAGGAGTGTCTGGGAGCGGAAGTAGCAGCCCTTAGTGCTCTCTAAAAGAGGGAAGGCTGACGTGTATAAAGTGGGAAGAGGAGGGGAGACATTCAAACATACTAGGTCTCTGCATCATTATTTTTATCAGCAAAGGTGTTGTCAACTGGGAAGGAAAGTGTGGGAAAACACCAAGTTGAATACAGATAAAACAGCTGGAGTTCAGTGTCAGGACACAGTGGTTTGGTGTCTGACAAACAGACAGCTGGTGTCCCTGGACACCCATGTTCAAAAGGAAGCCTGAGCTACAACAGAAATTTGGGAGTTTTCCATAAAGTCAAAGGGCTAGGTAAAATGATCTAGAATAAAAGAATCAGTGAGAAAGAAGGAGGGTCAAGACTAAGTCTTGACATCAGAACTTCAACATCAATGGTCTAACTCATACAGGTAGGTGAGGTCCAGAAAGAACAGTGAGAAAGGAGAGGAGGTTCAGAGAGAGACCTGAAAGGCAAGAGGAAACTTACTTCTAACAAGAGGGAGTAGTTTACCATGGTTTAAAAAAAAAAAAAGCCCATCTGAAGCTGGTCCAGGAACTCAAACTGATGCATGAAGTCTTGCTGGGGGCTAACAAGAGTCAACAGCTGAACTCATCTGTGCTAGAGTTCTGTCTGGAAGATAAGAACTAGTCATAACTGAAAACACAAACTTCAGCTGGACAATGGTGGTGCACACCTTTAATCCCAGCGCCCAGCACTCAAGAGGCAGAGGCAGAGGCAGGCTGATCTCTCTGAGTTTGAGAACAGCCTGGTCTATGGCCAGAGCTGTTACACAGAGAAACCCTGTCTCAAGAAACCAAAAACAACAATAAAAAAGAAAGGAAGGAAGGAAGGAAGGAAGGAAGGAAGGAAAGAAAGAAAACGCATATTTCAAAGGAGTTCAAAGGAATTGAGTATTTTTAGCTTGGATTTTACTGATGAACTAAAGTTCAGAAACATCGAGTGACCTATCTAAGGTGAAAATGCTAACAGCAATTGTCTTGACCTTTTTGTCCTTGCATATCAGGGCCCTGGAATTAAGCAATCTTTTATGAGATCAAATACCTTGCCTGTAAATCAGCTATGTGACTGAGCACTCTGGATCATCCAGTGTGACATCTTAAAAGTGTCTCCAAGAGGAATGCTCAGTGAGTAGTTGGAACCTACTTACACAAACCCTGTGGATACTTGCAAGCACCAACTGTCACTTTAAGGAGCTAAACTGGACACAAAAGCAAACACATGCAATCACTAACAAGATTTTGTTTCCAAATTTTAACGACATACCATATCTACATGCATGGAATTCCTGTCAGCCTCGCTGTAAACAGCCACAGACTGTATGCCCATTCTTTTGGCTGTTCGTATCACCCTGCAAGCAATTTCTCCTCTGTTTGCAATGAGGACTTTGGCAATGCTTCTTCCTGTTAAGACACCATGAAGAAAGACACAAGTGTTATTAGGAAATGAGAAATTAAAATACATTATTAGTCAGCTCCTAAGGGCTTACTTTGATAAACCTGGCATACCGAAACCTAAAATTACCATTTTAATATTAGACAGTGGGTTTCTTTTCTATTCACTAAAGTTCATAATATCTCTATCATTGCAAACTCAAGTTACTCAGTAAGATACATAAAGCTTTAAAAAAAACATACTGTATGATCTTCATATGGAAGAGCTTAGGACACTGAAATCAAGAAACGCAGTGTGAAGGAGTCATGACTAGGTTCTCAGTTTTTCTTTTGACTGTCATGAAAATGTCCTGTTGTTACTTTCAAATGCCACCCCTTCTACGTGGGTAACGCCTGCACTCTCAGCGGCTCCAGCTCATTCATGTTTCTAGTTCTCTACAGTCAATCTCCACTTGGACGTCTGCTCGTCGACCTAACATCAGAGCATCTAAAATATGGCTTCTTGTGCTTTTCCTCCAGATCTTTCCACCGGCACTCTTTTCTCAGTTCTCAAACTCCTGGAAAGTTATGAGTATCACCGAATTTTCCCTGGAGGTCTGCTCTCATCCAGGCAAATCATGAGGCTCCTCAACGCTTTCCTGCACTGTTTCTTGAAATGTTCCTTGCCATTACTAGACTCCACCTTTATTAATCTAAACCTAATCAATACAGGTGTTTCAAATATGTCCAACAACACGGGCCAATTCATTTCCAATCTGCATAGTTCTCTCAAATTTATTTCGTAAAAGGCTATTTATACTGGTTATGCCCTATTCACCCACTTCCGATTCATCCAGGAGATAAAGCTTACGTAATCACATTTTATAAAGAAATGGTACAGTATAGTGGGCATTGATGCCCACGCTACAGCCTGCACTGTCACCTGGTGATTACAGTAATTCTGAGTGACCAAGAGAGTCACTGTTTCCTTTTGTTTCAACCACGGTAACAAAACTGCCTCATCTAGAAAAAGAATGATAAAATTTCCATCATCACACAGGAGATAAATTCTGACAGTTTAAAATAAAGTTTTTTCTTAAAAAATAAGGTTTTTGGCCAGGCGGTGGTGGCACACACCTTTAATCTCAGCACTCCAGGAGGCAGAGGCAGGCAGATCTCTGTGAGTTTGAGGCCAGCCTGGGCTACAGAGCGAGATGCAGGTCAGCTAGGGCTATGTAGGGAGACTCTGTCTTAAAACAAACAAATAAACAAAAAATTGAAAATGCTCTCCATCATTACGCATCAAAATCCACACTCAATAGCAAAAAAAAAGATTTGACATAAAAAGCACAGCTGGTGAGTTAGTAATTAATAAGAACATTATCACAAAAATTCAGAAGTCTGAGCCGGGCGGTGGTGGCGCACGCCTTTAATCCCAGCACTCGGGAGGCAGAGCCAGGCGGATCTCTGTGAGTTCGAGGCCAGCCTGGGCTACCAAGTGAGTCCCAGGAAAGGCGCAAAGCTACACAGAGAAACCCTGTCTCGAAAAACAAAAAAAAAAAAAAATTCAGAAGTCTGAAGGTTTATGAGAGCTAATTCTATTGTACACAAATTAAAGAGTAAACATTTTTTTTTTCTTGGCTCACACCCTAAAGCAATGCTAAACACAGTCTGCCAGTACCTGGGGTTGTTCCGTACTTCATGGTTCTCTGCTTCCAAGCCCATTCCCTATAAAATAAATCCAAATGGAAGATTAATCAGAATATACTAGATCAGCTACTGCTCTTTCAAAACTTGTAAAAACAAGTCCAGATGTGGTGGAAATTTAACCTTAAGCCCATTAGCAAAGTGATTTAGTAAGACTCCGTGGAGAGAAAGCCAGTCTAGAGCCTGGGAGGCTGAGTTCTGGCCAGTCTCCCTTTGGGTTGAGGTCTCTGAATGAGTCACCTAGCCTGTTTAATATCTGAAGCTGGCACTTGGCCAGAGAGACACTTAAAAGGGTGAAGTGCTTTAAAATCTTCTACCTCAGCTTTTAAAAACCTTTGGTTGGACTGTAAATAATTGTAAAAACCACCCAGCACACACACAATCAGAACTGTCAAGGGAGATTACTCACTCTGCATTTTGATGTTATCTGTTCCGTCCTATTGAATCAAACATGCTAACCAAATTACACTTTTAAAATACAAATTGAAGCTGAGTGGTGATGGCACATGCCTTTAATCCCAGCACTCGGGAGGCAGAGCCAGGTGGATCTCTGTGAATTCGAGACCAGCCTGGGCTACAGAGTGAGTTCCAGGAAAGGCACAAAGCTACACAGAGAAACCCTGTCTCGAAAAACCAAAAAAAAAAAAAAAAAAAAAAAAAAAAAGAAGAAAAAGAAAGAAAATAGAAAATACAAATAGAATGCAAACCTCTGATAAGACAGTTATGACATTAAGGCAGAGAAAGTAAAGGAAGGAAGCTGAAATAAAATGAAACAAGGGTAGCAGAAATAAGAAATGTTGGCTATGGCCTGGTCCCTACCTGCTTCTCTTCAATATGGCTTGTCCAGTCACATCACTCTACACTGGGGTTTCTCAATCTTTTTTCATTAATACCCTCCCAACGAGAAAACTTAAATAGTAAGGAATAAATTTTACAAACAGATGAATTTGAGTTTTAGAGATCCACAAACACATGTTAGTCAAGCGCTTAACCTATAGTTCCTATTCTGTAAGAGTCAATCTTGAAGATACTTCTCAGTTTTAATGTATACAGTTTTTCCAAGCAAAACCACAGTTGTATAGAGTGAGGAGCTTAGCTCTTCCACAAAGCACAAAGATCACAGTATACATTAGATATCATGTAACTGCAACAATATGCATACACCCTTTGCATGTGACTATGCGACCATCAGGGTCACTTGAGGCACACTCTATACTCACTATCCTGGGAGGGACGCACACTTAATCAGATGCTGTCTTGAAGCCTACTGGGAAGACATACATCTTTGGCATGAGAACTCTGCAGATAGTTTCCCCAGGAGACTGGTGCTTTCTTAAATCTTCCTAATTCAGCCCACCTCATATTCTTGATCTTCAAGGAGGAAGACATTTTTCCTGATCTTTATGAGACATTTTCCAGCTTGGAGCATTGTCTTCCTTTGACCTCTTGAGGTAAGTTAAGGTTTAAAGCCTTTCCAGACAGTTGTGTCTATGAAATGACAAGTTCATATGGGACCACTGACAGCCCAAAGCATTTTCCTTTCAGCTAGTAGAGACTGAGACAGGCGGAAAGCCACACCCCGTAGCTGTAATCCTCTATCCGCACAACGCTTTCATTGCTCTAGCCTATTTTTTAGTTATTTTTGCTACGTCTTAAAACATTTAAATAAGATAAGTAAGTTGCTGCCATGAGATAATTACACTGATTAAGACAGCTTCTGTTCTCATGCCTAAAATCTTACAACGAGGGATTCTTTTCTCTGAGATATAAGAGGAATCATGGTTGGGAAAAAAAAATCTCATGCTGGTAAGATTTTTAATTCTAGAAACCATTAGAGAGATGATAAAGTGTGGCACTTCATCTCCAAAAGGAGCTGTGGTACAAGTTAGTCACCTACAGACTTTTTCTACAGACAATAAGCAAGCTTTGAGAGAGGAAAGAGGAAAACGAGTCTGTGGTAGTTCTGTGGAAACCTAAAAAAAAAAAAAAAATTAATTCACAGGAAAGAAAATAGCATTGACACTTTCTTCACCATCTTCCGTATTTAAAATATAGGGGTGAGTCACTGACAATCCAGGATATCTACCACTGTTGGCTGAAGATTTGTTGATTCTTCAAAGTCCGTTTATTGACTAAACCATATGGACCATATCTGGTTAAATTTTTATTCACTTGTTAATTTGGACAAAAGAGAGGACCAGTATCATATTAACATTATCTCTGTTAGATACGAGCACCATTACCTCTTCCTAGAAGAAACTGAAGCAAAGTTATCAGGTTACTTGGCCAAGGTCATACACGAAGTGAGCAGCTGAGACCCAGTCCTCTGCCCCCAGGGCAGTCTTGAGGCTTCCTTTCCAGAATGTGGGAAGGTGATGATAATGATGAAGCCATCTACCTACAGGACTGGGGTTTTCACCGCAGAAGTTACTGTCCCCAAAGTGTGGAGCTTCATCGCCAAAATAATCTGGGGTACAAGTGAGTCATCTTATACAGCTTTGTACAAACTTGTGAACAGCATTCGACAAAACTCCTCAGCCCTCTGCAGGGTTGCTCTCATTAATTTGATTCTTTCCCTCAATAGGAAAGATCTCTGGGAATCCTTTTGTGAACTGAACTCAAGATGGGGAAGCTCAGCTGAAAGGGACTTTGGAAAGGGGGTCCTGGCCCATGTCTCTAGCTGTGCACTCTGCGGCTGGAGCGCCACCCTCCCACCCTCGGAGCCAATGACACAGGGACCTGGGAAGAGCCAACACGTAGAAGTGGGACAGCGCCCACCAAAACCACACACAGAGACTTAAAGGGCCGCTCACACGACCCAGCGCCCCTCCACCCGGCCGCGCACGGACCCGCCGCCCCATCGTCACCTCGGCTGCAGCAGCAGGAACGGGACCCGCCGCCACTGGTTCCTGTCCACCACAGCCAGCAGCGCCGCCGCCGCCATCCCCGCACAGCCGGATCGGACACCGAAAGCTGCCTGGCGTCCGGGTGAAAGTGTCCCTCGCCTCGCAAGCCTCTTGTCCGCCCTCGGCCACCGTTGCACCGAAGACTAGGTGGGCGTCTCCGCAAGAGCCAATCACAGAACCGGGCATCTCGAAGGCACCGATTGGCTGATTGGACCATGTGCCGGGGCGGGAGTAGTGGTGGTGGTTGTGGATTGTGAGTCGCTGTGCTCCTTCAGCCCTGCGCTGTTGGGCGGAGCCAGCTCTCCTACCTTTCTAGGAGGGTACCTAACCGGAGCTGGAGACGCTGAAGACATGGAGCCTTTCCAACCACCACTCAAAAGAGCAAGCATTCTCACGGAACATCAGGAAAAAGGGGAAGTCGAAACTGAGTGGCAGAATATCTAGAAAATAAAGACAGAGTAAAAATAATCTGTGCATGGTTATTTGAGACAGCTGGGGCAGGGTTCATAGGGGGGAAAACAGTAAGTTGGAGAGTTACAACTACAAAAATAAATCGGGCAGAGTGGCACATATTTACAATCCCAGAACTAAGGAAGCAGAAGCAGAAGGATTGTGGTGAATCGGAGGGTTGACTAGACACTGAGTTCCAGGCTAGCCTGAGCAATACTTCAAGGCCCTCCCTCAAAAACCAAAATAAACAAAATATATAAAGTAAACATGAATGCAGCAGGAACACAAAGGTAAAGGCGAATAAGTTAATGGATTCACAGAACTAATACCTTTGGACTAATAAATCCAGTGTGAGAACCTAAGAGATCCATGGAACAAAAATGTCTCTGATCTGCAAGCCCCTTGCCCAAGGGCAGATAGTTCCTGAAATGCTGGAGGCTATTGTTTATGGGAGATAACAAGCCGAATTTCTTACTCCCCTAAACAAGTTTGTTTGTCCCTACACCAGATGTGCCTGATCACGGCTCACAGCCAAAAATTACGTCCGGATGTATGATTGGGCCTGATAGAAATACTTGAACCCTTGCAAACCATGACCCAGGGCCATTTCCTGGGAAACCAGAGGAACAGTTCATCAGCCTGGCCAGTATTAAAGCTTGCTCCAAATTTGACTTTTAACTGTGGCAGTGGTCTTGTTCTCAACTGGTGGGAGAACACGTAGGAAAACAGTCAATCAGAAACAAAGGGGGCCCAGTGGAGGCAGGAGGACCAAGAGGTCATCCTCATCTACATAGCAAGTTTGAGGCCAGCCTGGGCTATGCCAGAACCTGCTTTAAAATGGAAGATGCTGTCTTGAAAATTTTGAACTTTTAGAACTAGATCATGTGATCAAAGAACAACCCTTCCTACCATTCCACCCCTCTTCACCTCTACCCCAAATGATGAAAAAGCCCCTCTTCTGCAAAGAAATTCCATATGAATAGTAAACAATGGTTCACTGCAAAGCTATTAATATTTTCTAGAACACAAAAAGATGGGAAATTTTGAAGTTCTTTTTTATGAAGATAACGATGATACCAAAAAACAACATGTACTTCACACACATAATGACTGACAGTCTAACGTCACTTATGGGTATTAATGGGAGAATCCTATATAAATATTACTAAAGCACAAAGTGACATGTAAAAACATACATTTTATTGTAGAAATGTAAGATTGGGCTGTTACTGAGAAGTCGCTAATTCAGTTGATCATGTTAATATTTGAAAGAAAAGAAAACAATCTGCTCGTAGTTACTTGAAGTGTTTGACAAAACCCAGCCGTAATTCTTTATTGTAACTCAATAATTCAAGAGTTGGGATTAGGCTCTCTGGGAAAAAATGTTGGATCCTTATTCACTTTTCACACTCAACACCAAATAAACCTTAAATGGACAAAAGCACATGTGTGCAAGAGCAAATACACACACATGTACACATACATATATAACTGTTTTAACCTTGCCTCAAAATACTTTAATTGCCATAAATTTAATTAAAATGTACATTAAACACATGTTTGGCATTCTAAACTTTCTATAATCTCAATACCACAGGATACATATAATTTACTATACAGATGTGGAAAATCTAGTTAGCATATAATACTTTGCCCCCCTGTTAACAGTTTATTATGTGAAATGCACATACTGATTTAGAAATCCTATCTTTTAGCTGGGCCATGGTGGCACACACCTTTAATCCCAGCACTCAGGAGGCAGAGGTAGAATGATCTCTGTGAGTTTGCGGCCAGCCTGGTCTACAGAGCAAGTTCCAGGACAGTCTAGACTGTTACACAGAGAAACCCTATTTTGAAAACCAAAAAAAGAAAAAAGAAAGAAAGAAAGAGAAAAGCAAAAAAAAGAGAGAGAGAGAGAGAGAGAGAGAGAGAAAGAAATACTAGCTTTTGGATCTTGAAATTTAATGTATTACAACAAATAAAAATCATAGTACATAATTTAAATTTGGTAGAAAGTGTCAGTTTCTTAGATATTTTGGATAAATGTGCACTTTTCTTAAAAAAGATATCCCTGGAGAAATAACAACACATTGGGCACTGGTAGATAAAATCACAGACACCAGGGTGAGGGGAACTCTTGCTATGCAAAGGCAGCCAGGTGCATCACAAAAATGAGTGGATCCTTCCGCAGGAGGATGATGTAAAGAGTCAAGTACAGCAGAGAAACCCAGTCAGGTGAAAGCCTATGGTCAGAGCAAAAGCCACAAAGGGAGCTTGGGGCCAGCCTGGGCTACATTAGACTCTCTCAAAAGATGAAATAGGTTTTCTTTTTGTGTTATTATATGAGGGCTAAAGTTATGTTTTAAGTTCAAATTACTGTGTTTAAGAGATCTATAAAACAAAAATGCCTCTAGGCTATAAGCCCCACTTGCCCAAGGACAGATAACTTCCTAGAACGCTGGGGGTTGTTGTTCATATAAGATAATAAGATACAAGTTCTCATTCTTGTAAACAAGGTTGGTTGCCCCAACTGAAGAGGGTGTGCTTGATCACACATAGGTGGGAGGTTATGTAGTCAGGAAGTATGTCAAGATGTGTGCTTGCCCCGGATTGGATGAAGACAGGCTTGTGGGTTTTGCCGTTATAAGCACTGGATTAACGTAATTCGCTGCTATTCTCTGGGAATCCCAGGCATGGACCTGGCCAGTGTCCATCGTCCTGCCAGTATTTAATAAAGTTTGCTTCTAATTTGGCCCAAACATTGTGGTAGTGGTCTTATTCTTGCCAGTAGGATTAACAATTACTTTTCTAACTTTTTTTTTTTTTTTCTGTCTTTCGAGACAGGGTTTCTCTGTGTAGCTTTGCGCCTTTCCTGGAACTCACTTGGTAGTCCAGGCTGGCCTCGAACTCACAGAGATCCGCCTGGCTCTGCCTCCCGAGTCCTGGGATTAAAGGCGTGCGCCACCATCGCCCGGCTACTTTTCTAACTTTTTACATATGATTTCAATATATTAAAGCTATTATTCTTCAGCTATGGTACTTGGGTGACTTCCAAAAATATGGCAGAGTTCTTTCATCATATTTTCCCCTTCCTAGCTAGTTCTTTCTAGTTGTGTGAGACCTGTGTGACACAGTTGAGAAGGCACAGTTCCTTCCAAGACCAGCTCAGTATCACAGATGCTGAAAAGTGGCAATACACTCATATAAATTTCTATTGGAAAGATTAGAAAAATTGCACTTGATTTCAAGAACACTACAAAAATCAAGGGAAAGTATCTTATAAATTGCTTTGTAAATTCTTCTGATTATTTCTACAGCTTTTTCTTTTTCCTTTAACCTACATTTTTTCAATAAAATAAAAACACCAGAATATTGAATGTTTCTTTTTTCCCTTTTATATATAATATATTCTGATTACAGTTTCCCCTCCCTCTACTCCTGCTAGAACCTCCCACCTCCCGTCCACTATGGATCCACTCCCTTTCTGTCTCTCATCTGAAAACAAATGGACTTCTAGGGGATAGTAATAAAATATAGTAAGATAAAACAAAAACTGACAAGTGGAAATTGGACAAAAAAAAAAAAAAAAAAAAAACACCCTGAAGGAAAAGAGCCCAAGAGAAGGCACAAGGAACAGAGACCCACTTGTTTGCACACTCAGGAATCCCATAAAAACACTAAACTTGAAACCGTAATAGATATGCAGAGGACCTGGTGCAGACTCGTACAGGCTCTGTGCATGCTGCTTCGGTCTCTGTGAGTTCACATGAGCTTTGATCGTGTTGATTTAGAAGGCCTTGTTTTCTTGGTGTCATCCACACTTGCTGTTTTTTTTTTTTTTCCTCTCCCTGGTTTATTAAACGCAGATTCTTTTCTCATACTATAAATCTGAAATTTCTCTTCCCTCTACTCTCCTCAGTTCCTTCCATGTATAATATTTTAAAAGTTCTAGAAGATGTTATGGTAAATAGAACAGGGAAGGATTTGTAAATACATCACAGCACTCAAAATGTTGACTCAGGTAATGCCATCTTGTCCTGACTCCATGTTGTGTTTACCTGTCAGCCCTCTACCCTCCCAACAATCATGCCTGCCTTGAAAATGTGTTTGAGATTTCTAACCAAAGTAATTAATATAAACTAAGACAACTGAAGAAGGGGTAAGTCAAGAATAATTACCATGTTATGTCTGAAATAAATACTGTACTATGCCAGGAATGACCATTTCAAGGTTCCTGATTGTCCTCCAATGCTGATGTAAAGTATGGTCTTTAAAGGCAAAACCTGCTGTACCCATAAACTTCAGCACCGAGAGACTCTGAAGTGTAAACCCACTTTAGGCTGCCAGATAATAAAGGACTCATACTTTTCATTGGCTTAATCAACATGATTGTCTGTGTCTTTCTTGTATGGATTATTACGCTATGCAGAAAAAGTGAGATAGCTAACTTTAACTATATAAAGATGCTTAGAGCTAGTGTGATGACGTGTGCTGTACTCTCAGCTGTCCAAGAAGTTGCAGGAGGCTCAGCTGACCTCAGGGGATCAGCCTCAACAACAAACACAGTGAGGCGTAAGGAGTCGGTCCTTAATTGCGTCATCAGCCTGCTGACGGCGTCCCAGGCTAAAAAGTGGGTGGGCCCTCTG